GAGAGAGAGAGAGAGAGAGAGAGAGAGAGAGAGAGAGAGACCAATCTAACTAACTGTGCGCCCCACGCCCTCCCCCCCACACGATAGCAGAATTGTGGATCTCCGGACATCTGAGAAAGAATATTTTTGGTTAGCGGGAGACAGGAATGCAAAGTGTGACACACACACAACAGGTGAGTTCAAATCCGGACAATCACCAACCCAGCAAACCACAACTGAAAGGATTGCAAACTGTGATCAGAAGCAAAAAAAAAAGACAGAAAAATATATATCCAAGGCTTACAAAGCAGCAGCAGCAGCATTCCATCGGCAGTGTCAACAACAATGCACGGGTGAGCCTTAAAACCACCCCGACCCCACCCAAACCCACACCCGACCAACAAACCCCTATCCACCCTCATTTGCACTGCAAGGAACATGAATATGGACGAAGCACAGAAATCCAGAATGCAAAATCACACTGAAGTCCAAGTAGTCAAAGCCAAAGCAGATAGTACAATGGAACCGAGTAACCATCCAATTGAGAATGATACAGAAGAATCGTGAGTCAATGTCCATGCCCAACAGGGCAACACCAACAGCATAACCCAAATGTAGCTCTCTCTTGTGAATGGCGCCAGGCGCCGTATCTACTCTACAGCCTATCCTACAACTACAGCAATGAAAGCAACCAGACAACTTGACTACCAGCGAGTGATGATGTCAACACCAATGCCGACCTCCACCTCCACCAGGTACGTGTCCTCTTCACCCACACTCTTCCTTGTACCCACACAGCGCCCTTCACCTCCGAAGAACCACCTTCGCCCTTCACCTCTTCTGCACTCTCATGCGGCCCGGCTATGGCCGCCAGTGCCCTGCATGCAGGCAGCGCCCTACCGCCTAGCGCTGGCCTGCTTGACCTTAGCGCAGCGCAGCTCTGCACAGCGCAGCACACATGCATCCGCGCAGCGTGCCCGCAATGCCAGCATTGGCCAAGATCCCTGCCCACTCGCCCTGCTTGCCTATATGCCAGTGCAGCGTGTGGGCGGCCTCCCTTCAGCCTGTGACCGGGACCCAGAGGCTGAATCCAGCCTGATACAGTTAGGCCCCCGGGGCAATGCAGTTGCGCCTCCTTCATCAAGGCCTGCGGCCAGATTCAGACAGTGGGCCGATTTCCCTTTGGCATTTTCGGCCTCTATACCCAGCATGCATTGTCGGCCTCACATTCGAGTGCCCAGGGCCTAACTAACTCAGAGGCCCTGGGCATTTCAGCATTTGCTGAAATCCGAGACTCGGTGCACTCCAACCAACTGGCGTGCTACAACTGTATGGACCCCCACTTCGTGAAATGTTGGCACAGAGGGCTCTTGTTGATTTGCTGGCCCGCCTTCACTTAGGGCGGGCACGAGGCTTGCTGGGGCCTTAGCCCAGAACATGTAAATCATGGCAAGGCCCCTACTTGAGGGCTCAATCCTCACAGCACCCTTTTCCCTTCATTTTTTTGTGGGCGAAGCCGCAACAGGTAACCTTGTTTATATTGAACACCTTAGCATTCTACTAAGAGGAATACGTAGTGACTTCATGGCGGTTAGGGGAGGGGGTTCAAAGTGGGTAGGGATACTTTTTGTGCTCCCCAAAGAATGTTGTGGGATATGGTCTCCGGCTCTGGTTGCCTGCTTTGCAGCACTCTTGGCGGAGCCTGAGAAATGGGAACAAAAATGAAGAGAAATACAGAACTCTCCCAGACAAACTGCAGCCTGCCAGGAATACAGCTAAATTCGGATATCAATTGGGCCTCAAAACCGAGGACCCAAACCCAGATGTCAACAGGAGATTGGAAAAAAACCTAAACCCGAGTACCAATGCAGAGTAACAGGTTCCCTAGAAAACCGAGGACCCGAACCCAGAGATCTGAGCCAGTAGCAGCCTGTTAGCTGCTGCGGGAAGAAAGAAGATGCAATGCATCAGCACCACCCTTGGATCTTTGTGCTTGTGACACAAAGGTCAGACCATGGGTCCACGTTTTGTTTGAGGCTTTGAGCGGATTGCCGGTGGCCTTTTCAGGTTCGGACTGTGCACTCTCAGGTGAAGAAAAATACCGGCAAAATAGGTTCAGGGGTAGTGGGGGTGTAAACTCGCCAAGGTGATCATCAACATCACTGTTAGGTCATGCATGTAAAAGTGTAGGACTTTAGATTGTCTGTGATGCTTGTCTATGGCCCCCAACCATCTGTACTGATCAGAACATGTCGCACTCTTGTCAACTTGCTGACACGTGGTGGAAATGAAAGGAAGGCTGACATGTCAGTTGTAGTTAGTGAATGGCCATCATGCTCACGGCTTTCGCTTACAGGAATATGCGGCTGCGCTGGCTATGCGTGCAATGGTACATTTGGACATTAGGACCATGCTGATATGCAAACAGGGATGCTCAGGTCTGCCCTGTGGACTTGAGATAAATTTCCAGTCTCATTCGGTATGGTTGTGGGTGGTTCGGTATAGATACAGATGGGTAACACATGTAATGGGAGTGTGAAACCTGTACGGTAACTGTGGAATATCTTTGTCATATGCAGACTTACAACCACAAATGGTCTTATCTTTTTCGTCGCGTTGCAGGAAGAGGAGCAAAGGCTTCGCCGCGTTGCGGGCAACATCACGAAGGAGGTGAAGAAGTTCTGGGCCAAGATTGAGAAGCTGGTGGGTTCTCGGTTTCCTTCATCCTTCTGGTGTTTAGACCGGATGGTCTTTGACGGTGTCTGACACCGATCTGCCCACAATTTCCGTGCTCTTAGAAAAAAAATCTACTCTTGAATGTCAGTACAATGTAAGTGGATTTCTGGAGGGAAGCTTCACCGTCCACTTTAATGAATGTGGACAGAACCGAAAGGGTGAAAAGAGAACTACAGGTCAGGTCGGTGTTGCCTGGGGTGTTTCCCTGGNACCGTCCACTTTAATGAATGTGGACAGAACCGAAAGGGTGAAAAGAGAACTACAGGTCAGGTCGGTGTTGCCTGGGGTGTTTCCCTGGCGCACTGCCCTCAAGTTGAAGCTTGAAAAGCGATATATGTGGGAAAAAGCATGAACAAGAATGCTAGGACAAGCAGGTGGCAGAGCAATAGGCAAGAGCAAGCAAGTACAGGCTTCAATGCACGAGTAGACATCTAGGCACCAAAAGTGTGTGGGATGCTTATCAACAAAGTGAAGTATTGGAACTGTTATGATCCTGGCCGATTTCAAAGTACGCATTCATCAGAAAGTACAATGCTGTCCAATTGCAAAAAGAAATGAACGAACTTGAGAGGAGAGAGAGGGAAAGAAGAAGAAGAAGAAGAAGAAGATGATGTAGATCAGCATAGTCCAATGATAATGCTCTTCTTCTTTGCCAACCACTCTCCTCCGCCTTATCTCCTCCCCTCTTATTCAATCAAGAAATAATTATAATAATGTTGAATGGCTGAACCAGAATCAATGTCTGAATCCCTCTTCTACTGCAGGTATCACATGAGGTCCACCATAGCCATGGCCACCCCTTTTCCTCCTCCTTCCAAGGCCGAGGCTATGGCGGACTACCAGGGCATCGCCCTACTGTGCAAAGGACAACACAAAGCAGCTATGGCTGCTCTGGCTCAGGCCGCCATGCCTGACTCTGCCTCGAAGCTTCTTGGTGTAGCTCTTCCCCAACTGGGGTTTTCCTGCTGCAGCGCCCACCAAGGTGATGAAGATGGCAACCACCATAGCCAGGTAAGTACCTCTGGCGCTCCCCCTTCCTAGTCCTGGTCTTCTTCCTCCTCCTGTCCTCGCTCCTTCCCCAACAGCGCTGCTCCAAGCTAGTGCTGCTCCAGCCAGCGCTCCAACCAGTGTGTTGCCAAACTTGCACACCGACAACGAGGAGGAGCACCTTGCTCCTCCTGGAGATATAGCGTCCTTTTGGCCTCTTGGCGAGTGACTTCCTAGGCTGCGCGGCCTCCAAGCAACCAGCACCTCCTCCCTTTCGAAGGGAAACATCATTGCAGACTCTGATATTGCTTGTACAGGACCTAGACTCAGACTGGTTGGACTGGTACCCGCCTAGACCTAGCCTACAACTACTGGGCCTATAAAAATGCCAGCTTTTGTCTTCTTCTGCTCGGCCTCGAGTACCCGGCACATCTACCTCTACTTGGTATGGTACCTGCCTACCTGCTACTTGAGTGTTTTCCGCTGTTCTATGTGTCGCGGGCCTCTTTCACCGCCACTTGAGTGTTTTTCCCGCTGCAACCCTCAATGTCACGGCCACAGGTAAGTAGTGGCCCTTCGGGCCTTCCGAACAACCAAGTGCCCTTGTGGGTCACACACACACTCAAGCCGACAAGCACTCAGACTGGCATGCAGACCAGCAAGCATGCACCCACACAGACTTAGAAGACTCAGCAACAAGTGGGAAACTCTGTAAGGCATACATTCCATGAGCAAAAGTCAGAAATCAGCTGTGTCTCAGTCCATGTCTGGCAGGTCATTACAGAACGGAAGCTTGGCAAGAGCATTCTTATTATGGCTGATTTGAGGGCACGGACACACTGTTGCTGGAAGGCAGATCATTTATACTTTCGTGGGGCACATGCTGAAAGTCGTGTCGCAGAGAACAGCTGAAACATTGTCCATAAAGCACTCTTTCCAGCACTACACAGTACTGAAGGACTGTTCAGGACTGTTGAACCTTATGGTTGAGTGATTGACCCTGGGCAGGAGGAAACCTTTTCCTCTATCCTGACAGGTTTGTTTGAGATGAGAAGGTGAGAGTCCCTTACAAGGGCAACTTGGCTTCTGGACCCGCCCAAGTATATCTCGGTGAATCTTGTACCTTTACGCTATGTGTCTCGCCTCACTGTCATACTGGATAATATAAATGCAGTATTCCCTACAAACCAACGAAAAGAATCAGAACCAGGCAGAGGAGAAGGAAGAGGAGGAGATACCTCACTTCCTTGCTGTCATCAGCAATGCTGTGGAGTCATGAGTGCTGTGAGGATATTGTCATTGGTAGTCTCTTTGACCAGCTAGGGGCAAGCCAGCTTGAATGAGTGAAGTATAAAATTCAGTAGCTGCTGTTGAGTTCATATGTTGGGCCTCTCCATCTGATTTCATATATGCCTGAATAAAGGCATCCCCACACAGAGATTTTCCTTCAGGACGATTGTGGAGATCTACATGAGGTGTGTGGCCTGGATAGGAACCCTCGTGGCTGGGATGGCGTTCTCTCTCATATAGATCAAACCTAGATTGATAATGAAGTGATGCCAATTACATCTGCAGAATGGTTGCCCTCTCAAATCACAAGTCCATTGCACAGTCTCTTGACCAAGATCTTTTCCATTCTTCAGCTCTCTTCGGCTATGACCAGAAGCATGGCTTGTGCGACAAGGAGCGAGAATGGTAGCAGGTGGAGGGTGGAGGTGTTAGGAGATGCCACTGCCTCAATGGGCTGAGCTCCCCGGTCACGAGACAAGCTCCTTCCTTCCTTTGTCTATGTAGTACACGCTCGCCTTTCGCCTGCTCTATGGCTTGTCGCCAGCCTCTCTCAACTCCAGTCCCACCCTCTCACAGCTCCATCTGAATGCTCCTCTCAATCAAAGAGGCTGACACAGCAAGAGCACCAAATGCACACGCTCGCCTTTCGCCTGCTCTGTCTTGTGGCGAGCTTCTCTCAACTCGAGTCCCACCATCTAGTGCTGTTCAGTTTTACCTGCAGCTCCATCTGAACGCTCCGCTCAATCAAAGTGGCTGCCACAGCAAGAGCACCAAACTCGCCAGCCAAGTGTTTCCTGGTTAATGTTCCACGTATGGTCACTCAATATTTTGATGTGTTAGGCATCAGGCCAGAAAAGCGTTCTCCACTACTGCTATGCCCTTGACGTTGTCATCAGAAGTCCGTGGTCAAGCACGTTCTTGACTGGTGTCGGAAGGTGGTCTCCTGAAAGGGGGAAGTAAATCAAGTACTTTGGGACACCTGACATAACCTATATACAACCCTTCTTTTGCGCTCGTGCGACAATGAGATAGTTACAAGACAAATCTGACGCTGTCTGGTGTGGGATGCAGGGATGTGATGAACTCTGAGGAGATCTCATTTCATTACATCTTATTCATTTGTGCTCTTTACAGCTCAGTTTGTTGTCAAGGGACTGCCTCCACTCTAATGAGGTGTGCCTTTTCTTATGTGTCCTTATCTCCTTTCTGCAGGTTATCTACAAACATCAGCTCATGCTGGAGGAGAAAAAGAAGCAAGCGCTGGACAAGCATTTGGACTTTCTGCTGGGCCAAACTGAGCGGTTGGTGGCTACCCTCCCATGTAATTAATCTGGAATAACTAGACAAACTTCTCAATCAACTGTGGGTTGCTATTGGTTGAAAACTATATCCGGGACATCTGTACATGCGTTTTGAGCGCGGCATTTGTTATTTCTTGCTCTTGTTGTTGAATGCTATGCCCACTGTTTGGCCATCCAGCTGGCTATCCAGTGTCCAGGTACTGGATGTGTTGATGGCACTTGATGCATATTGGGATAAACTACACATTCTCAGAAATTTGAACTGTAAAACAAAAGGGAAGAAAACCGGGCTGGCTACGTTCTGTAGAATAGCATTAACTCAATTACCTTGATCGAATGTGAGAGGGGTAAATGAGTGATGATGAGATGGTGAGAGTCTGTTGAAACAGTTTGACGAAGTTCTTTATTCTCTTCTCGTTTTCTACCCGTCTGTTGATTGTTTACTGGGTAGCTTGATGTCAATGATGTGCTATCTATCTTTTGTCCTGGACTGTCCTTTACATGTTTCTTTTCACAAATGTTTTGAATTTCACAAATGTTTTGTGGGTATATGGTCATCACCAGCTGCAGGAATGACTGTTGCATTGACAACGAGTGGCTGATCCGTTGTGTCCTGCTGTATGCCAAGCCTCCGAAAGGGGCTGGTGTTAAAATGCTTTCGTTCCAAACAGTTAATGTAAGCAGCATGCGGGTGTTCACATGCATCCTGCTCTGATCTTTAGGGTTTGGTAATGGTGGATGGCTCTATCATGTTGTACGCTTTGGATGTGTCGGATCGTGCACTTTTAGGTGTCGGATGTGTTTTTTTTGACTCCTGAGAGGTTGTGCGGACACTACAATCAGTCTGGCGCCAACACTGTGAGAAGACCTATAGCGGGAAAAAATGATGCATCAGGCCTGAAAAGCTAGTGCTGTGAAAGAAACTGTTAAACGTCTTGTTTTGCGTCATTCAGCCAGGGTCACCATCAGACTCCCCACCACTAAGCGCCAGCGTCACTGTCAGACCCCATTGCGTCATTCAGCCAGGGTCACCATCAGACTCCCCACCACTAAGCACCAGGGTCACTGTCAGACCCCCGACGACTAAGAGCTAGGGTCACCGTCGAACTCCCCACCCCTAATAGTTTTGTGCTCCTACTGTGGAGTGATCATGTGGTAGAGGTGAAATGTGAGATGGTGTGTCAGGTGCCACAATTCCCTTGATTAATTACATGCCTGGATCAAAACCACTGGGCAGGTACTTCTAGCCCGGAAACCTGCTCTCCACTCATATTGACCAGCTGCTGCCACTAGTTCCAGCCACCCTCTCAGGAATCGAAATATCAAATATGATCATTTCACCCCAGAGTGACTCGGTGGTCCGTGAACCCATCGTCTACTTAGTGCGACTCAGTGGCTAGTGAACCTGTAACGAGCGTGAGGCTGAGGGTGAGCCGAGGGAGATGAGAGAGAGGGAGAGAGAGGGAGAGAGTGAGAGCACACACACACACTCACTCACTCGACACGACGGACTCGGACTGAGGGCCGGACGCAGACACAGTGGCAAGGCACAAAGTCGAAGTCTTGGATTCCGAATGGCGAAACGGCAAGTCACACCGAGTACGAGTACAGCAGCAGAGAACTGGTCGAGACTCGTCCCCGTACCGTACGGGGAGCCGGCATAAGTACCGGTGACACGTACGGTACCAGGGGCATTTCTGCAAAGGCCCCGAGGGCAGAACTGAAAAATGCAGTATTTGAAAGTGGCGCCCGAATTGCAGCATGGCGCCAGTTGTCCAAAATCCTACGGTACCA